GTAGTACGTAGGGTAGGGGGGGGGGGTAATTTAGGTTATTTTAAATTATTGAAAGTAATTATTTTATATTTTTATATAGTACACAATAGTATTAGATATATACCTCCAAAATTTTATTTTAATCTAATATATACAAAATTAAAATTAAAATTAAAACATTGATATGAATTTTAAACTACCTGGTGAAAAATCTGACGGCTGAAAACTAATAGCTTTTACAATTCACTATAGCCGGTAGCTTAAGAAATCTTTGTGTGTAATTGTGTATTTACATTAACAAGAAAGATGATGCTTTTATTTAAGTACCTGCTACGTTCCTTTGAAATGAGGGATCACCAAATTTTTTCATCCATACGAAGTTGTCATACAAAGAATGATAAACCGGGAAAGCTGCATTGAAAGCAAAAGTAAAGTATGACATGAGTATCACTTCTTATCATCATCATTTGAGTCATATCCCGACTATCTAGAATCACCACACGAATCCTGTTTTATTGTATCACTTCTCTTGACAACAAACAACGCTCTAGTGTTCTTTTACTCTTGATAAAATTTGTCATTAATCAAACGGGAATAGTTCAAGCACAAATCTCATTAAGGGTATGTTTGGTTCACCAGAGATCTCTCTCGACAAGAAAGATTTCTCATAAATCGGTTTCATACCTTGGAATTATAAAACTACGTTCACAAAAAATATGGCTATAATATATGGAAAATTGTATAATTAGATCATTTACTTTTGGTATAAAAAAGCTATAGTCTTTCTTGTCTGTTGAATTTCAAATCGGGTGGTTGTGACTATCCCATTGATTAGGTTCAAAATTCAAAGAAATTTTTTTCTAACTTTATGACAGTCACTAAGGCGTCCAATTCGAAATCAAATGGCTAGGGTATTCTACCTTTATTAATAGTCTCACGCATAAAACAGAACTCGGAAAACAGTTTGGTAAACAAACATCTCTCTCCTAGAGATAGATTCTTGAACTGAAGGTACCCTAGGGGATTTTCTAGAGTATTTTAATTTGGGATTGTGTATAACGAGACGATTTACCTCTGATACAAAGAGGTCACATTTACTTACAACCATCAAATGTGAAAGTTGATAGTTTGGATGTGTCACAAAGGTTGAGAAAAATTTCTTTTGAAGTTTGAGCTTGGTCAATGGAATAAAAACAACCATCTAATTTCACATCCAATAGTCAAGGTTAATTGTGACCGCTTTATACTAAAGATAAATGGTCACATCGTATAGTTTTCCTTTTTATTTTTTATTTACTAAACCAAACCAAAAATAGAGCCCAAGGGTACTTTGGTGACCATGCAATGCTATCCTTGTCATTTTATCTACCTCCTTTAAAGCCCATATCAACGGCTGGGATTCCAATGTGTTGAAGGAATGCTGCATAATCTGACCCTCCGCCTCCGAGTCTCCCTATCTAACAGCAAAAAAAAAAGAAAAGAAAGTGAAGCTAGCCAAATCTTTTCTAAAATGACTACAAATAAGGGGAATTTAGCAACAGTGTAGAGCACTTTTTGAGATGGTATGATGTGGATGTGGACGTCTAAGGGCATTCAAGCACCCCTCAACAACACTTCAGATTTAGGAGCATCAACAGGCCTAGGTTGGACCAGCTTTTACCATAGCCCGGCCTAATTTCCAGTAGGGCCAGATCGAGATTGGCCCGGCCCTGGCCCAAGCCTCCTTGGCCGTTGAAAAGATTCTTGTGTACCTAACAAAAACTCACATGATGCGGATGTCATACTTTTCTTTCATAATTTAAAAATAGGCGCAGTTAGCATGCGGCCAAGTTTGCACATGTACAAATACCAGTTCGGCAATAAATATATTTTTAAATATAATTTGATCTTAATTTTTAAAGAATATATAATTTTTAACATCGAGATCATGAATATGAATAAATAAAAAAAATTTAAAAACTTAAAATTATAATTATATTAAAAAAACATTTAGACCGTTAGTTACAATTGTTTTTAAATGGACCACCTATTCGCATCCATCTTGAAGATCGATGCTTTATACCTCTGGACCGCATATTGTACAAATACAATCCAGCCCCGCATGAAAGAATGGTTCTCTATAAAATGTCTTGTTCATTAGTGTTTTTATTGTTGCAATATACATAAAATACCAGTAGAGGTTTTTTCTAACATGTTAAAGACCAAAGTTGCATACCAAAGGAGGGTCACCAGACTCAATCCACGAATCGTAGACCGTTCTTGAGGAGTTGTCTGGATCTTTAACCTGTGAAGTAAAATCGGTTAGTGCTGAGAGAGAGAGAGAGAGAGAGAGAGAGAGAGAGAGACCCTAGTAAAGAGAGTTCCATGAACAAGTAGCTACTTCTAGACATCGGATTTACTAGTCTGAGAGTCAATAGGGGCCTTAACCTATCCGATCCTAAGAAAATATTGTATACGGCTTAAAAACTAGTCAAAATCTATATTTTAACCACTTTTGGCTGGTCATATAAGGCGGTTTTGACCAATTAAACAAATATGAAAATTTTATTTGTAGATATATTTCACATTTTATTACTATTGTCTATCTTTTTATTTGTCTAAAGGGTGTAGTTTCTATAAGGTTGCAACCTTAAACAATCCAATTAAGACACACCTTAAAATTTTATCATAACATGTAATTTTGTTGTAAAAAATTCTTAGTATTATCTTAAAATCTATTTTCATACCTAATTAGAAAATTTGAAAATCCAAAAATGGTTAAAATCAAGTAGATCTATAAATATATGAAAATCTTGAAAATGGACGGTCTAGATAATGTGTTGCAAGATGCACTATTTTCGGAACTCAAAAGCTTTTTTTTTTTTTTCATATTCATACATCTCAATGTCGAGATAAATGATTAGAGGGTTTTTCCAACATTAAAACAACCTTTCCGATGGATTTTTGAAGTGCATCTGTGATTCTACATTTTAAGGTTGCAGCCTTATTAAAACTTTTCCCTTGTCTAAAAGTTCAGTTTAACCACTCAAACTGGTTTTTACTATACCAAACCCTTAGATTTTGGATGCAGGTCTGGTTATGATAATTTTGCTTTTCATAGACAAAAGTAGATCAAAATTTTGAAAAATTTGTCTATGGATCAAAGAATTGAATAATGAATATGTTTCTATTAACATACAAAAAAAATGAAAGAATAGGGAATATTTTTATTTTTCTTCTTCTTTTCACTCTTTTTTTTCTTTTATTTTTCTTTTATTTTGGCAAAAATCACTTACAAGTAGTCTTATTACAATACCTCTTGCTTCAAAGAAAATAAAACTATCAAATCTAAAATCTTAAAAACCTTGATGCCACTAAACCAATTTCTTTAAATAAAGAAAATATCTATAATTCTTATGCCTGAGAATATAAAGACAATATAATTAAATATGACAAGAAAAAAAAAGATGAGATTACCTCAACCGAGCTTATTACATCTCACACCGAGTCATCACCATCCGATGACACGGGATCAATGATCAACTCTCAACCGAGAAACAAGTTTAAGCCAAACCCTCTAATGAAACAATGAACCCCTTTATCACAAATCTCAAACCCTTAGGTAAATCTCCTTATCAACCTAGTTTGAGAGATATGCTTATATTTTCTACCACAACGTTAAAGTCTAAATCCCCAATGAGAGATGAGAGAGTATGAAAGAGTGGGGCGTGCTCCTTTGGGTCTCTTGAGAGAGAGAGAAACTTTCTTAAGAGTGAGAGAGATATTCTAAATGGGGCGTGTCTCTTTTGTGGGATATGCGAGAGAGATGAGAATTAGGTATAGGAGATAAAGTGTAGAAATTTGGATAGAGATCAATCTTTTTTTTATAGTGCTTGAACAATATTAGAGTTTCTTAGGGTTTTCCATGGCTTGTCTCTTCTTGTGAGATTGAATATGAACAATTGATCTTGGGTGACTTGTGGGGTGAGAAATTTGAGTCTTCTATTTCATAAATGAGTCATCAACATCATGGAAAGTGCTAGAACCTTTATCCCCCATTTTTAAACCATTTTCCCATCAATAGAAATTAAATAAAATAATTCTATTCATAATATAGTGCTTATTAAAATTATGCACAAGCCTTATCATGCTTTCCAAAAATCCTTTGAAAATTTTCTCAAGGTTAAATCTTTCCAAAACACTTTAAAGCTTTCTTTTCAAGCCAAAACTTGAACTAACACAATGAAAGTTTCATTAAGGTGGGGTGTGCCACCCTAGGTGGTACTTCATGGGACCCACCCACATGCAATAGTGGGCCCATTAACATATTGGGCCTCCCATGCAATATTAAAATTATCAAAATTAATTATATGATTTTTAAAAATCCATAAAATCAAATTTGAATATTTAAATCAATCTAAAATCAATATCTCCGTTTTTATAAATCTAAATTTCATAAATAAAATATCTATAGATCTAGAAAAATTCAAATAATAATTCTAAAAATCATATATCATTAAAACAAACATGATTAAATTCATTAGATGGGAAAATGATCCATATGGTCTAGGAATTAAATAAACTGAGGCATTCAACCTTCAATTGTAAACTACAGTCCACACTTGCTTTGTCAAACCGACCCAGTGTTTCTCATGACTCGCAGTCCACGGAGGGGCTTATTAGTGAGTTATCAAAGTCTGGCCGATGTGTCAAAGGGTCGTAATCTCAGTCTGTGAATTTCAAATTCTCCCCTAGAGACGTACCAAGGTCACCTAGACCTGATGCGACCACAACTCCTTTATCGTATAGGTGTATCTCTTGCGCATGCATAAGCTTCACCTTGAAAGGTGGTTTGCTTTCCCGAAACGACCATCATATATGCATGTTGTGTGATGGCTCAGGGATGAGGCTTAGGCCCCCGTCTCTGAAGGCCATTATTACACACAGTCGATCGGCTCACTCATCCGGGCATACTCTGACTTCATCAAGGGACGACTTATTAGAACCCTTATCAGATAGTTTTCTATGCCCAGGTAACATAAGTTTTTCCCGACCAACTAGCTTAACTCATCAAGCTCAGTCCGATATCTGCAAACATCGTTTGCTACTCCCATTGATTTTATGTTTCATTGTATGAAAATGTTTATCACAAGCACTCATAAGGCCTTTAATGGCCACAATCACCCCAACAACAAATGATTTGAAAGTAATTCCCTCCAAATGGCTTGGGCTTTGATTAATCTGTCCATCAAATTACAAGAAGGTAAAGAATTACCCATGTGGAACCTTTTAATTCTGAGATTGAGGCATAGGTTGCTGAGAAGTTAATAAATATAACTTTACGAAATGGCTTCACTTCTGAGGAAAATACATTCTAGGACTTGTCTAGTTTTCCCCCTTTTAACTTAATAATATAATCAAGAACCAAATTTCATATCTTTAAATATAAAATCCGTTTTTCTTATGGGATTATATATTACGATATTGTTTATTTTTAGTATAAGGAGGTCACAATCATTTTTAGCTATTGAATTTGAAATCTAATAGATGAAAGTGTGTCGCAACATTTGAGAAATATTATGCCTAAATGAAACATCCTCAACCACCCGATTTCATTCTAACTTCCTTATATTAAAAAGTACATGATCTCATTCTATTCGTTTCCTTTTCTTATTTATTAACACAACTATGTGTATAAAGTTTGACCAAACTTGAGTTATGTAATTCATGTTAAATTGCTTTTTTTAGTATGCAATTTGTGTTGAGCTATAGTTTAAATATAAGCAAAACATGTACATTGCATGAAATGCGAAATTTTTTTTTTTTTTTAAATCCTTTACACTTCAAAAAAAAAAGAGAAATTAAAACATCTGCATGCACAATAAAGAGAAAAATTATTATAGAGAGCAATAAATCTAGACTCCTTTCAAAATATAAATTTATGATAATATTTTTTGAAATGCAATGATATGTAAAAATGGATATTAAAATACAGATGTGAGCTCATACATAAAATTGACGGTAAGTGAATGTGTGTGGGGGTATGTATGTGAAGTTATCTAACATGGATATATGTTTCTTTTGAATTTTGCTCGTATCGGCATACCAAAGACACCGAGGATATGACACCCATGTCCGATGCCTTAAAAAACCGAGACAATTCGTCTTAACCTTTTTATTTGAAATCTTGCTACAAGAATACTTGATCTTACCTAAAATCTCAACTGTCCATTCTTTAGGTGAAGTACAGATGTGTCCTGTCATAAAAGTAATTTTGAATTTGATTTTTTTGACACTAATATTTGTATCTAACATAGACGTATTATTTGTATCCTAGGTGTGAAAGGATTGATTTTGACATAGAAGAATTGTGAAATATAAAAGGAGAAACTCTACCTCTTGAGTGGCTTCTTTGAGTAGGTGATCAAGTTGAGGTGTGGCCGAGGCATGAAATCCTGCTCCTGAGACTGCAGTGTCGACATTTAGATATGCTACAACTTTTGAGCCCATCATCTCACTGTTCTCTTCTACCCATTCTGTGGATCCAATCTGCAACATGAACTCAATTCCACCCAATTACACATAAATAAAAAATAAAACCTTGAAAGAAAGTAATATGTTTCCCTCTCCCTACCCCAATTCCTAAGTTTTAAATATCCTTTCAAATTTTTTTTTGACCAACATTACTAAATTTTATTGATAGAAAAGATTGCATAGCCTGAATTGCATCATCTAATCTGCCCGAGAGTTGGCTTCCCTATAGATGTGGTGGAAGGAAATGGTGAAAGGCTTTGCCAAATCAAGAATATGAAGACACACTAATCTAAGCTCCCAAAGCACCTTTTGCTCCTTATTACACCGTTTAATCACATTCAAGGAATTTCACTCAACAACACAACAATTCTCCAATGATCTGCTTTCAAATTTTAGCCATACAAATTAAATTTTCACCTCTTTATCCTCGTTAAAAAGATTCTAAGAGCCTTTTTACCCCTTTATTGCCTAGTAAATATGATAGAAAGATGAGAAAAACGCGAAACCATCTCAAAACCTAGGAGATTACAAATGCACATACTCTAACAAAGAAGGAATAAAACTGAGCAAAGTACCAAACCATACTCCTCTGCATCCCAACTGCACAAAATGATGCTTCTTCTAGGCCTCCAGCCCCTCTTTTGTAATTTGGACAACCTCTGGGCTATCTGCCAAAAAAAAAAAAAAAAAATTGGAAGAAAAGAGCGACGGGATTAGGTGACTCCTCTTTATAGGCTGGTACAATATGGTCGTCATAAAACTCTCATCAATTGGATTGGACGGTGATGGAGGCAAGGGGTTCCACCATCTAAGTGTAATTAACTGAATTAGGAGAAATGTATCAAATTGCTTATTAGAGATGAAAAATTGAACACTTTACCCGTATATTTTGATTTAATTGCACTATATCCAAACAAAACACAGTGTCGCAATTGGGCAAATAGTTAAATACTTTCTCTTAGGGGTATTTTCACAAATTTCCCCTTAATTGTACATCCCTACTCTTCCTCCAGAACCACTCATCCCATTGAGTGGACGGGTGTCATTGCTGCTATCATGTTCATATGGATCATATTCTATATTTCTAAATTTATTACTATTTCTTAGGATTGCAGAAATCAAATTCATGGACAACATGAGCTCTATCTCTGTGATACAAACCTCTAGCATGGCAGCCGTTCCACTATTAGGATCGACGGCTCCAAAGATCCATGCATCGCGATGATTCCCCATCAATACGTACCTATGGACACCATAAACAATCCATTTTAGCGATTTAACGGCCGAGAATAACAAATATATCCAAAAAAATATATCCATAATAGCTCGAGAAAACTGAGCCAAATCTAATTCGAGTCCAGGGCTCAAACAGTCAGACTCGGGCTCTGATTCGCTGCAGTTACGAGTCCTTGTCCCTCAATCTGACTTGGCTAGTCCAAGTAAGTAAGACTGAAAATTTGCATTAAGAATTATTTAAGAAATTATGAGAAAAAGGGAGGCTGCGAATTCCAGGGAATAGTTACCGGGAGGGCCCAACTATGATGGCACTCCCTCTCTGGATCCCAACTCCGACGCTCCATAGTCGGGATCTCGACCGGAACTCGTTCCGTACTTTATGGGAGCTTGGTCCTATTTTTAGGATTCTTGATTCTGTTTACAACGGAGCTCGCTCCCGATACTGCACGAAACACGTTCCTTAAATTTTAGGACCTTGTTCCTGAATAAATTGGATCCCCGCTCTTAGAATTTTAGAAGCGTGATCCCTACATTTTTGGAACTCTATCCTTATTTTTCAGAATCATCCTAAAAGAAGCTTTTTAAATAAATTTAATTTTTAAAATAAAATAATTATATTTTAAGCCAAATTTTCATAAAAGTGGAGTTTTACTATGGGGGCATGAATTAATCATGCGCATAACGCGATCCTTCCTTGAATGGAGTTCGATCCTTTCCAAATATAAACACGGTCATTCTTAGATGGGGGTGTGATCCTGTTGTCGTTGGGAGCAAAATCATAATGAATATGGGAACACGATCCCATTTGACATGGAAAGTGTTCCCATTAAATAGGAATCTCGATCCCGATGTCTTGGGAACGTGCTCCCTGTTCATAGGGGATCTCCATCCGCTACTTTTACCTTCTCCAGAACTCGCTCCCCAAGCTCCGGAGCTTTGGGCTCCGAGAAGCGGAGCAGTTCCCGTTCCTGCTTCCAGTAACTATGTTATCAGATCTTTCAACCTAGAATTGCCTCTCAATTTGGTGATGATTTTAACATTGTTCAACCTGTAATAATGACTCTTAAATCTCGAAAAATCTCCAACTGTATTGCGGGGTTGGGGCATCGGTGGTTAGGGAACCAAATGCCACAACATGATGTCCCACCCTCCACTCCCACCATGAACACATCAACTCCAACTATAGTACCACATGAATTAATATCTGAGTAGGGTTGAGAATGGGTCAAATCGGGTCCGGATCTCAAAAGTATACATGATATTTGAATTTGGATTCAATTGTATCCAGGATATTCATATTTGAATATGGATCCAAAAAGTATACATGGGATTTAAATCTGGATTCACATCCAAATTGGATCCACTTATAACTAGATCCTTTTTCGATCGAAATTACTATTCGGATCCGATCCGATGGCATGGATCTAGATAAGATCTGAAATTTGGGTTTTGCGTTCAACGGGTTAAATTCTTAGCCCTATATCTCAGGTGGTGGATGTAACGGTGAGCTGGTAAATGGGGCTGTTAATTTTTTTTGCATAAAAACTGCTGCTAGATAGTAGCTTCATTTCGGTGAGATCAAGTCTTAAAATAATCCTCGAAAAATAAAATAGCATAAATGGTAACTATTATCATAATATTGGAAATGACAACCGTTAATTGAGAGAAACTTCTCAATTTGAAAATAACTTTTCAAACTTTTCCCTGTAATTTTCTCCCTTTTTCAATATTTTCCTTTTTTCAATTATTTTCATTTTTTCCATTTTTTTTTCTTTTGTACCCTATTTTCCTCCAAGTTTTTAGTTAAACAACGATTTTTCCGATGCAACGGAAACGGACTAGCCCCGTTCTGTTCTGTTATACACGTTTTTAGAACATATGCGCCAAATACCCTCAAACTTGCCCTCGCATTATATAAAATTAAAAACCATTAATGGGTTAATGCATGTAAATTAACTAACATGCCATTAGTACAAGGACAAGGTGATGAATACACAAGCTAGATAAGCTGCATGTACTCATTCTTTTTATAAAGGGCACAAATGGACAAGTATTTAATAAGACTGTTTATTTTTTGATACAAGGTCTCAATCACCCTTTAAACCTTAGAAATAAAGGCAGACAATAAGAATTATGCAATCAGTTTGGGATCAGCTCAAAATTATTTCTCAAAGTTTACTACAAAACCTTATCCATCCAACATCACATCAAGATATTAAAAATAATTGTGACCTATTTGTATTGAATGTAAATAGTCTTATAATATGCAATCCTCCTTATTATACTAAAATAGTTTATCGGAAGTTAATTGAAAATACAAGTTGCAACTTTGGAAATAGTTTATTGGAAGTTAATGAAAATACAAGTTGCAACTTTGGAAATGAATAAATAAAAGATGAGGTTTTTTCAAGGGTCAATCTTATACTGCAGAGGTAGGATGTATCCAAAAAATTCACCTAAAAAGGTTGTTATGATATTGAAAAACTCACAAGTGATCATCTCGACTTTAAGATGGACTTCGAGTTAGAAAAAAAAATTAAGTCGTAAAAATAGTCATAACATATTATCTCGGCTATCTATTTTTAAAATCTTTTAAGTGTTTATTAATCTACTCAATATACATGATTTTTTAAGCTTTAAATTTCGTAATTAGGGGAAAAAATAAATGTTTAGGCCATCACAACTGTTTCCGACACCAAAACTTTACCTTTTAACAATATTTAGAGGTGGGCATTATTTTGGTTGATTAAATTTGACATACAAACCGCACCCAATAAATAAAGGAAAGAGTTTATATAAGGTTGCAACCTTAAAATGTAGAATTACAGATAAACCTCAAAAATCCATCTGAAAAAGTTGTTTTAATGTTGAAATTCCTTCTAAGTTTGATCATTTCGACATCGAGATGTATGAATATGAGAAAGAAAAAGATTTTTAGTCTTAAAAATAATGTATCTTGCAACACATTATCTATACCTCCCATTTTCAAGATTTTCATATGTTTGCAGATCTACTTAATTTTAACCATTTTTTATATTTAAAATTTTATAATTAGATATGAAAATATATTTTCAAATAATCTTAAAAAAATTTTATTCAAAAAATACATGTTATAATAAAATTTGGAGGTGCACCTTAATTGAATTGTTTAAGGTTACAACCCTATAAAATTCGCACCCATAAATAAATACAAGCATCCATTATAAAACTTCCTATTAGTGAGCCGTAGAATAAAAAAGGTTGAGCCCTTTTATAATGAAAATCAAGTAAATTTTTTTTTCCCTTTTCTAAAAGCTACCACTATAAAGCTTCCTACAAGACAAGGCCATGGGCCCTTCCTATTTCGTTTGCATAAAACTCTGTAACATAGACATGCTGCTTATGTTATCAAAGTAATACAAGTCCACGTATAAATATACATACAGACAGGAAACGCATAAATTAGTAACCCATTAAAAAGTTATTTATATTTAATATAAGAAGGTCATAATTACTAAGATAATTTATATTTAGTTTAAAATGGTTATGATCACTTTTAGTTGCCACATGTGAGATTTAATAGTTTGTCAAATTCAAGGGCAAAAAAAACTTTGAATCTAATCAACTATTACTCGATTTCGTATTTAAAAATTGAAACTAAAAGTAATGATTTTCTCTTATAAAAATAGATAGGGTTCCATTGGAGTATATAGAGAGAGATTAAAAAAAGAAGAGAGGACGAGGAGGAGACAGAGGGTTAAAATTAGGAGTGAAAATAGGATCGGTTCAACTTTTGGACCCGGCACGTTGATCCAAGTGGCCCTGGTCTGGACCTAGATTTTGGACCAAATGGACCAGACTTTGGTCCATTTGATGTTGAGAGAGAGACAGAGGTCCCATAAAGAAGGTCCATTTGATGTTGACCCGAGAGTGAGAGAGCCCATAAAGAAGGGAGAGAGCAAGAGGGGTAGACGGTTAAAATTAGGCGAATGCCCGACACGTTGACCCAATCAGTTCCCAGTTTGGACCCAATTTTTGGACCATATGAGTCGTCTCTTGATCCATTTGATGTTGACCCGACCTAGATCAGGTCTGGGTTCAAGTAAGCTTAGATCTAGTCGGGGTCTACCAGACCTTGTAGATATTGATACAAATATATATTAATAATATTAACCCGAGTCAAGTTAAGATTGGATCCAACTAAAAATAATCAATCCGACTCAATCCTAGCCATAAATTTTTCTTACCTATCAGGCTCAACGGCTCCCTTGATCACAGCAAAAACGTTATGAATCTTCATCTCCTTTAGCTCCCCCTGAAAATCACCCCAAAAATGCCACTCTCTCACTAGAACAGTATATGCCACTTGCTCTCACTACAAAACAATTTTGCTACATGTGCATCACGAAAAATAAAGGTGCCCTTGGGTGATCCCGCGTTAGGTAAAGACAACAAACTTCATGCCTCAAGTTTTAAACACTTGTCCTCGCCATTTCTCCAAAGGACAATGTCAGCCTTGAAACTTTTCAAGAATGCTATAAAATTTTTGGACTTGCTATCCAATTTGACATTTAATAAGTATGAATGATTTCAACATCGATGTACAAAAAAATAAATAGTCTTTTTGTAAACAATCCTTAGACTGATTATCTAATTTTGTACGTTCGACATGTTAAATTTGAAACCCTAATCTCCTAAGTATTATAAGTTTAGTACCGGAAAATAAAATCTCGACTTCTTTCCACTTTGTTTATCATGCAAATGGAAAAGGAGTTGAACCCTTAGGTTGTCGCTAGGGCTAGCAACTGGCTGAGCTTGGGCTGGGCTAGCCTTGGCCCTAGCCTAGCATGGGGCCAAGGTGGCCCAAGCCCTAGCTCAACCCTATCGTAGCCTTGGCCCAACCCTACCATCGTGTTGTGGTGGCCCGAACCTAGCCCAACCCTTGGGCGACATCTTCTGGCCCAAGCCTTCGTTTTTTTAGGATTGGGGCTGCTGCACGGCCCATTCCCATAGCTTGTTGTAGTGTACCCTTTTGACAATGCTAAGAGGCCAAAACCAAAAGTAGGGTTTTCAAAAAATTAAGGGATTACGAATGCCATAGAATCTAAATTGGCCACTATATTACAACCGTCTAGATCCATCAATGATTATCCTTTTTTATTTTTTTCCAATTGAAATGTCAATGTAATGTTTTTGGAGGATATATATTTGAAAAATTTGTAAATTGGGGTGATATACTATATGTTTTTGGTACATAAGGTCGCAATCGGTTTTAGCCATTCCATATGAAATCTAATAGATAAAAACTCAAAATCGTTCAAAAAAAAAACAAAAATAGCTTTGAAAATTGTACTGCACATCCTCACCCACCCCACTTCAAATTTAACAATCAGTAACGATTGTGACCTTCTTCGGTCAAAAGTAAATGGTCTCCTCACAAATATTTTCTTGAAAATATAGGTAATTTGAGATGCAAAACTCCATTTCACTGTACCATAGGAGAGCAGGGTCCTTCTCAATAAAAGCCACCAATGTACCTAATGATGTTGACCAAGCATCATATCCTAACTCCTAAGCCACCACAACAAAGAAGGTATGATGTAATCTCTAATAGCAACATTTTTGCAGGCACAAGCAAGCACACCAATGTGTGTGTGTTAGAGAGAGAGAGATCCAGGTATCCCCCACCACACACACACACACAAAGCTAGAGAGATAGATAGAGAGAGAGAGAGGGAGGGAGATCCAGGAATCCCCCAACACAAATAACAATGAGTTCGAGGGTGATTAGACCCGGCCCGACCCAACACCATAATCACCCACACCAATGCGTAAGAGAGTGAGAGAGAGAGAGAGGCATCCACACACACAAAAGAAACTACTTACAATATAAGTGAGGTTGAGGGTGACTGGACCCGGCCCGACCCTATAGGCACCCACATCGATCCCACCTTGCCAGTCCTCATCAACCAGTGGCCCCTCGAGCCCGGCCACGATCACCTTCGCATCCTTGGCCGATATAGGAAGAGAGGGAATCGACGGCAGCCCCTTCTCCATATTTTCTCTCTCTAATCTCTCACACCCCTCTATGCTAGCCCACCCCGGTGTCGAGGGGTCTCCTATACCTCTATAGACCGCACCCATTTGCACGCCACTCGGTGGCATCCACCGAGCCTCCGTGTGCGAGCTGTTGTCCCCTCCATAGTCCTTAGGGTCAGTGTAGATAACAACACCAATTGCCCCTTCTTCCATGGCATTGTTCACTATGTCCCCTCTGAATATTTCTCCGTATCTTGCTAAGACAACCTTGCCTTCAACACTTAGGCCCATGCTCTTCAAAAGTGCATAGTCTCTCTCTCTACCATAGTTAACATAGATGGCCTCTCCTATGGCTTGGCCTGTTTTGGCATAGGCATGGAAGGTTGGCAAGGCCTCAAGAGTCTCAGAGTAAGGGTCTCCCTGACAGGGTTCTTGTTGGAGGCTGAGGCTCGATGTCGCGTTTGTGGCCGGAAAGCTGGCGTCGAGTGATCGGAAAATCGGATAAGTGAGAGAGACTTTGTAAGGGGTTACATGTGCTTGGAAGTTTAGGAGGGAGAAAGTGTTTAGAACATAGAGGGCGGTGATGTAGTTGGCGGGGGTGCCGGCAGTGTGGGGGCGGGAGGTGAGAGAGAGAAGGTGTCGGGCGGTGGTGGCGTTGTCGCCGGAGGAGAGGAAGAGGGAGTGGTAGGGATTGTCGTCGGAAAATGGAGAGGGAAGCCGGAAATAGGTGGTGGAACAGAGGAGAGAGGCTAGGATGAGAAGCACACTTGTGGGGCACGGTGCTAGGTGCATTTTTAGAGAGAAAATATACCAGTGCCTCTGAAACTAGAGAGAGAGAGAGAGAGAGAGAGAGGTGGTGTCGTTTTAGGAAGTCATGCAATTAGAGAGAGAGAGAGAGAGAGAGAGAGATGAAGCTTGTTAGGACCTCATGCAACTGGACTTTAGTGCGCCTTTATAGTGTAATGTGGAGCCACTTTGTTTCTTCAAATGCCCTTCACCTTTTATATAGTTTGCTAATCTATTGTGAAATGATTAGATTATTGGTGGAAATTATATTATAAAGAAAGTTTATCATTGTTTTTCATTATTTTCTAAATTTCTTTTGAATCTGAGAATGCGATTTTCGGATGGCATTTTAATTTTTTTGTTATGCGGGTCACTAAAGCCCGAATGTTTTTTTTTTTGTTCCTCTTTCTCCCTCTTCGTCTCTATGCAACCCCAATGTGTGCAGGGATTGGCCAGCATGTTCACTTTGCTCCCGTGAGAGCATATATTGTACATCTACTCTTTCGATCAAAAGATCTGCTTGGGAGAATTCTTTAATTTATAATTTTGAAAACCACCTAAGAATTATTAGATGATTATTTTTTAAAAAATAAATTTTTAATTTTCTAATACTTAGATTTCACTGTCAAAAAAATTTAGGGGTCTCTGACATTATTGAGATATATTTTTTTTTTAAATACATAGAGAGTGCAGTTGGGATTTTTTTTTCATGTTTGTTGAGATTAACCTATGGATTGAAGAAGTTACGTCTCAAAAATTTAGGATCCTAAAATTACATCTAGAATGGGTTTTACCCGAGGGAGCAAATGGGCAATATATTGTTACAGGAGCATGAAATTTTTTGGCATCCATTAATTCACCAAGTCCAAGTTCAACCTCTTTCTATTCGTCTATGTCCAAATTAAGAAGGTGTGATATTTTTAGTTACATTTTGAATTCGTAATAAACCACTCGTGAAATAGCAAAGGTCTTTTATATTCTTTCCTATCTTTATAAACTTTTTCCTTTATATTATATTATTTTGTATATTTATTATCTACATTAGTTTCTCTTTATAATTATACTATAACTCCATTATTTTTTCTTTTTCTATGCGTCGGAGGTCGCAATGGACCCGGACCCAACCTTGGACCTAACGACTGGACTCGACCGTGGTCCGGATATGGATCTAAAAATTAGACATGGCGGGTCGAGTTCTGGTCCAAATATTGACCTAAACACTATTTAGGTCTCGGTCCGGGCCATGTGGATCCGACTTGACCCACCCTTAATAGTGTTATTATTTAAATAATATTTAATATATAATAATTTAATAATAATTAATTTATATTTAAATAAATATAATTATATATTTTTAATTATAATATTTAAATAGTATATACCTATATTTTAATATAATTTTTAAATATAATTTTTTTAAAATTTTTGAGCCCATTGCCCTTATGACAAGACATTGCATTGAAATAATCAAGAACTAACCAATCAAACTCGAGCCGTGTTACTCTTGTCTCCAATCTTAAATTGGTTTATTTCTCTCTCATGCAATTGAGGGCTATTTACCACTATATATCGAAGTGTAAATCGTCCGAGCCTTTGTTCTTGAAATACTCCTCTCTCTCTCTCTCTCTCTCTCTCTCTCTCTCTCTCTCTCGTCTCTTCTCTTCTACGTTCGTACGTACGTACGTACGTACGTACGTACGTACGTACGTACGTAACGTACGTACGTACGTACGTACGTACG